AATGTTTGGCTTCGAAGCCAAGCTTTGGCGCCAAAATCAGGTGACAAACATTCAGCTAGAGCTTTGAAAGTAGGAAGTTGACTTCGAAGCACATTTCACACCTAAGAGTACAGGAGTGCCCAGATATGTGTTTACTTTAAGAAGATTGAAGACCTGTTTTTAGGTTTCTTGTTAAAAGTAAAATTCTTTGAAGTAAAGTTTGAAATACTTTGCGGTTAGAATTTGTTTGTTCTAGACTTCGAAGTGACATAAAACCAATATTTGGTTAAGAAGTGAAGAATACAAAGGGAATCACTTTTTTAGAATAAAACAGTGCAATCCTTAAAGAAAGTTTTCATACTTCAAAAAATGTAGACTGTTTGTTCGAGGCAAAAATAGTTGATTCGAAACTGATTGATTGTGTTAACCATATGATTGGGAAAAGAAGACCTAAGGCAAAAGTTGTCAATCACACTCCATATGTTGATGAAGTTCAAATTAGGTCTCCAGTATCCCATTGGATATGTTTAAATCTGGTTTCAAAGGACAAAATTGGTGAATTCGAAGCTCTGATTTTGTTTATTTTGGGATAAATAGAATGAAATCAGACCATGCCGAACAAAGAAAGGAAAGCCTAGCTTTATTAAGATGAAAGTAATTACATTAGAAAGCTTTTTTGGCTATATATTCAATTTCATAAAAATAAGGAATAGAGAAAATGACAAGGTCATGGAACTTGTTCCAACAATGGTCAATGAATTTCTATTTCTTTTTTATTCTGTCTTCTATCTTCTCCAAGCTAGGTTGCTAAAGCTGATTTGCTCTTATTTGATGGAAAAATTGTTCGGCTTTTATTTCGAACTCTATTTCCTTCAATCCTTGTTCTATCTCATCCATATCCAAGTCATCCCAGTATGCAGGGTCTTTATTCTTGAAGTCATTATATTCATCGATAAGGTTCTCTGCTTTATACTGGGTATGAATTCGACGGGCTGAGATTTGGTCCAAAGATTGAGTGGTGGCCACAGAAGTTTGGTGCCAATGAAGAAGCAGTGAGAGTTGATCCAAAAACATCTGAAGCTCTACTTAGGCAATAGGATTGAGGACATGCTTCGAGTCATAACATCACATGCCCATTGAAAGTTCTTAAGAGGAACATCACCCTTAAGAACATTGAAGAGCGAGTAAGAAAAGGCCGCAAGTAGAAGCTAAGCTTGATATCGCTCAAATATAGTAGGGGGAGTTGGAGGTTCATAGGAAGGAAGAAACTGATTCTCAAAGAGAGTAAGTCTTAGTTCTTCCACCCAATGAAGGTTATGCGGAAGAGGAGGTGTAGAAGGATCCATCTCGAAAGAAGAAGGGAACTGGGGGTTGTTTACGCATTCAAGCCAGTAGTCAGTCAGAAGAGCAAAATTTTGCAGTCTGGGCTAAGAATGACAGGTTGTACCCTTGTGCTTCCTCTGGACAACAAGTGGCTTGCAAAATCTTCGTAGGCATAGAGGATGTGTAACATGCTATGAGTAAGTTGTCTTTCAAACTGCATGGGCGATCGATGGATACATATGGGTAAACCACCGAGCTCCGAGCGAAATGAGGGAAAAATGGAAGATCAGCGAATTCAACGAAGTGATGATTAATGCACTCTTTCAGCTTGGATTCCTCAGGTTCTGGCCAGCCTCCCCAGCCAGAAGTCTTAGAAAAAGAAGAAGAAGAAGCTGCAGCCTCATCCCACGCAGAAGGTTTTTGGTTAGAAGAAGAGCTTTCAATATTCATGTTTGCAAAATTTTGGGTTAGAGAATTACGAACAATAGGTTCGTAATCCAAAGGTCAATAGTTTGCAAAAGCTTCCATGACTTGAATATATGAAAATGGATAAGAGTGGCTAATAAATGCATGAAAATTCTTTCGAGGGCAAACATTATTATCTAACAACTCCTCGTATGCTCGATCTATGTCAAAGAAAGTTTGTTTGGCCATGTGAGTCGTATCAGTCCTTTCAAATGCTCAGATAATGAGAAATGTTCAAGGTGTAGAAAAGAATTTAATGCAGGCGGTTGCAGTTCTAAGAAGATATCAAACTCATGCACGTCCTAGGATGTGGGTGAAGTGTTTTGATCCACTAATATTACCATGTATTGGGTATATTAGTGCGGAGGATAATGTTGGTTATATAAATTGTATAAGTCAATCACGATTCAACACGTGGTATAAGAAGGACAATTTGGGAAGGTAATATAAATCGCCAACCATAGTTAGATACATGTTAACCCATACTGGTAATAATAGGTCTGCATAGCACTGGAATGATCGAGGGATATAAGGTGATGTGGCCTAACAGTTACTCACAAAGTTCAAATTTAAAATCATGAGGGAAGCCTAACTGCAGACATGGCGTAGTGGAGCTAACTGTGAGAGTGCGTAAACAGTGATCATGGAGGGATGTTTCGATGGTTAGAAGCCCATTTCAACGGTTATCATTGAGAAGTATAAATAACAGAGAAGACCCCAGAAAAATGCCCCAGACTCAGATTCAGAAACCAATTTTTATCTACTTTATTTTCCTTCCAGTTTTTACATTTCTTGTTCTTTACATTTTTGCACTTCACATTCTTGTATTGCACTTTATTCATAGGAGTAGTTTCGAATAGCTTGTTGCTGTAAACCTCTACGATGCTGAATCAGATCATTGTAAGTTTTCATTTTTACTTAATGAAATATTGCAATTGTTCTTCATTTAATTGTTGTTTACTAAATTCTCTTAAACAAACTACTGGTAAAAGTCCTCTTCATTGAGGCTGAAAGAACTGAAACACAATCGTCTGATAATTGGTTGGCAATTAATCTTCTGTAATGACTAATTGATCCTTATTGGCATACTTAAAATTATAATATTAACCTTCGAAAGCCAAAAAGCCAACAAACTATAAATTGGATAAAGAAAGACAAAATTAGTGGTACGCAATTAAATTATAAAGTGCATTATAGAATAGATATATAGAGTGAGTTATGTTCAAAATAAAATTTGATGTAAAAAAAATAAAATATGTGGAGATAATTTTATCCAAACACGTTACTTAACACTACTAAAAAGTTCAACAACTGAGTATAATGCGATTATTTGTTTGATCAATTGATAGGTTAAGATGCAACTGGTGAATAATAGTAATCATCAACTCCTCACAATCACAAGATAAAAAGGCATAATCTCGCTAATAAAGTATCAACGTATACACAAGTAATTGTACATATCTCTTAATGGTAATTTAATCAAATATAGTAGAATGCCCAACTTTCAAGGTTCAAGTATTAAATAAAATATCACATAAACTTATTATTATTTACTTAAAAGAGTTAGAGTTTCCGGCTAGACACATTAGTCGATTCACTGGCTTTGTAGTTCCATTTGGCGGAACATGTGCTCATCAAACATTTTTTTCCTCACAAATTTATTTTTGGAAATTTTTTTTACCTGTTTAGTTTTGTAAGATTGTTGATAATAAAATAAAAGATAAATTACACTTATCTCTCTTGAGGTTTAGCATAATTACAGGGACCTCTTTTATAGTTTGAAAAATTACTCTAACCTCCTTTACTTTTGAAACTAATATCAAGATTCTCCCTTTGGGTTAATTTTGGCTCAAACAGTGTTAAAATTAATAATAAAATGACTAATTTATCCTTAGCTCTTCTTCGTGTCTTTTGCAACCACAATTTTTTTTTAAACATAATTCAGCAACCATTTATAGATCACTACCCATCTTCTCTCTCTTTTCTCTTCTAGCTATAGCTAAGATTGTAACTGATCAACTCAGAGACTTAAAAGCCCCAAAATTTACTCTAAGAATGGGGGAATTTATTTGTGTGTATATATATGTATGTTGAATTGTTGATGAGGTTTGGAGAATTTATTTGACATTAAGATTTGATTATGCATTGGTGGTTATCAATATCTCTACCCATGAACTGTTGAGAAGAAAGAGTGAAGACAGTTTCTATTAAGCATAGATAGGGTAGAAAAAATGAATAAATAAAGAAAAACATATTAAAAAAAAAGAAAAAGAAAAAGAAAAATAGAATATATATAGTCACTTAGATTTAAAAGTTAACACACACATATATATGATCATATGTCTCAGTTATGGTATTTGTGATATTTGATTATGACTTATTATGGTGTTAATTATGACTTAGTTATGACTCATTATGGTGTTAGTTACAACTCATTGTGATATTAGTTATCATCTATTGTAATTATTATTTTGGTTATGGACCAAAAAGTCTTTAAATATACTTTATGACTTTCGTTTTTAATTATGGCCGAAAAAAATTTAGTTATGAAAACCACAAATATCATAAATTACATATAATACACTATTTTGAGGATGTATATTATAACATGATTCATACATGCATATATATATATATATATACTAGGTATTTATATATGCATATATAGATATGTATGTGTTTATATATATTATAACATGATTCATACATACATATATATATATATATACTAGGTATTTATATATATATACGCACTGGAGGTAAGTATAATTTATTTTAATATGTTAAGTAGTTGAAAGGTAGTATTGAGATTTGTAGAATAATTATGGATGACATCAGAAAAATCTATTTAATTTTGAACGGATGAGTAATAGAAAATGATCTTTGTAGATTAATTTCAAAAATAAGAAAGGTTAAGATAATTTCTCAAACTACCAAGGGAGGTTTTTATTTTCCTTTGTACAAATAAAAAAAACAAAAGTATTAGTAATATATTGAACACATGAGCATATGCATCTCTCTCTCCTTCTCTGTCTCTGAGATGTGCTCTTTCTCTTGCATGCGGTGAGTCTGTAGGAGACCAACTTTTTGTGGACAGAGCAACTTTATTACCACTGAAAATGACTTACTATTTTTTTATATCTCTCTCTCAACTTACTTTAAAATTAAAATAAACCCTTCTCTAACTGCTTCAGTTAAACCCCTCTCCTTTGTCACCTCTATAAATACCACACAGCAGCACAGCCCCTCCATCACTCCTCATTCCCTCACTCACTCACCAACTCTCAATAGTCTTCATTGTTCATATATACTTCACTGTCCAATCTACTTTAAACATGCATTACCAAACAGAGTCTTGGGGTTCCTACTTGGCAACAACAAGGAGTGTAAATGGTAGTGATCCGCTCGAGCGCATAGAGAGGTTGGCATCAGAGAATGCTGTAGTTATATTCAGCATTAGCACTTGTTGCATGTGCCACGCCATCAAGCGCCTCTTCTGCGGCATGGGTGTTAACCCTACTGTTTACGAGCTCGACGAAGATCCCATCAGAGGCAAAGACATCGAGAAGGCCCTCATGAGCCTTCTCGGAACCTCCTCCGCCGTCCCTGTCGTCTTCATCGGCGGCAAACTCGTTGGAGCTATGGACAGAGTCATGGCCTCTCACATCAATGGCTCTCTTGTCCCACTCCTCAAGCAGGCCGGAGCTCTCTGGCTTTGACCTCTCCTTCTCTCTCTCTCTCTCTTCTTATAGTTTTAACAGTTCTGCTACAAATACAGAAATTGATCACAAAAGCAAATTCAGAACACATTTAAATGGAAAAAAAATTATCAGTTTATATCCATTCTGTTTTTGATTTTGTGACCGATTTCTATATTAGTAGACTTATTCATGGTTTTAGAGATGATAACACAAAAATTGATCGCAGAACTGGATACGATACTTTCATATGAGTTGGGTCTCACTTTTTTTGTGAGTCTTAAACCGATGTGAGAAAGTAATGTCCGATTTTATGATTGATTTATGTGTAAGTATAAGAACTGTTAAGCAGAGAGAGCAAGGGAACTTACTAGAATGAAAAGGAGTTAGGAGAAGAGGAAGAGGAGTGGGTTTCTTGCTCTGTCATTTTGGACGCAGTACTATTGACTAATGTTTTTGTGTTTTTGTTTTGTTTTTATTTTTGCGATCCAGTTGGGTCTGCAGTTGTTGCTTTGTTTTGCTTTTTCTAATCTAACCGATGTGAACCGCGGACAGAAAGAAATGTAATGTGCTCCCTCCTTTGTATAGAAAGCTAGAAATTAAACCAAAAAAAAATTATTGTTAACTTATTTGCCACTGAGTTTGCTGTGTTTACTACATGTTTTGTTCATTGTTATCGGTGGTTTAGTTTTTCGTTAACCTTTCAAGAAAGAAGTTCAGGGACTTTAACGTTTCTGTCGGGTCGTTTTCTTAACTTTTCCTTTATACTATATTCTAATATTTGAAGTTTGCCTATGCCACTGCCCTTTTCTCAGTTTCAAAGATTTTAAACATGAGAGTGTTCAGCATTTTCAGTGTGAGAAGTATTTACAATATTTACAATATTTTAGGTGAACTGCATCCATTTTTGCAGTGTGAGAAGTATTTACAATATTTACAATATTTTAGGTGAACTGCATCCATTTTTGACGATTTATGTATTGATCATTCCAAAAAAAAAAGAAAAAAAAAAATCAGATCATAGTTGTCAAATTAATTTGACTTTTTTTTTTGTGTGAATAATCTACAAATAAACCTAATAAAATAAACAACAATGTTAGGGATCATGAAAAATCTTCATGAAAATTCTCCGTCTTTGGATTAGTTTATAGCATTTGTAGTGTTTTATTGTATGTTGTACAATCACCTTTGGATTAATTTCATGAAACTTTTCATGATATTCTTTTAAATAATTCAAATCTTGAATACATGACTTATGATGGGCTCCACGATATCCAAAAGCACATCTGCGTCTCGCATTTTAAAAACGTGATAGATAATTAAGAGCATCTGTATCAAATTATCTAAATTTTATTCTAAAATATTATTAAAAAATTAATTTCTTATTTTAAGAATCACTTTTTCATTTATTTCCTCCAACAAACTCACTATTATTTTCCTATTCTATTAACAAACTCGCTATTTTTTCTCTATTTTATTAAAATATAATTTGTAATTATAAATTTTAAAAAAAACTCCTTACAAATAGGGAGTAACTGTAGCAATTTCTATTTTAGAGAAGTGTTTAAGAGCTCTAATGGAAGGGTACAGGGAGCCACTAATACCTTCAAATAGGTAAGGAGGACATTTAGGGGTTAATCCCTTAAAATAGGTAAGGATGGCATTTAAGGGTTCTATTAGGGATGTTTAAATATGTATTTGCTTGTTTGGTTCTAGTTTTTAGAAAATAATTTTTAAAAAAATTTAATTTTTTATTTTTCGTATTTTAATATTTTCAATGAATTTTTTTAGTAGTTTGACTAATTTTTTTTTTAATTTTTAGACATACCTAACATAAATATACTTAAAAAGTATAATATTTGTCAATTTAAAGAAAAAAATTCACTAAATACCAAAAAATACAAAAAAAACAAAACACAAAAATTCAGTACATTTTTTTGTATTTATTAATTTTTAAAATATTTTATTATTTAGATACATCTAAGTAAGGTGCATCTAAAAAATTAAAAAAAAAATTAAAATTTTAAAAATATTCACTAAAAAAAAAAAAATTTGTTTAAAATATTAAAAAAACTCAATAAAAAAAATACAAAAAATAAAAAATACAATTTTTAAAAAATTAAATTCAAAAAACTGAAACTAAACACGCTGATAGATATTTTAGTTCATTCTATCTCTCTTGATTAGTAATATTTTGAGAGTTTTAAATGTTTGGAAAATTAATTATAGTAATATGAAGTGTAGTTGGATATAGAGAATAGGTAAAGTGGCGAAGAGCATTCCCACAGGTTATCTAAATTTTATCTTAAAATATTATTAAAAAATTCATTTTCTTTTTTAGGAATTATTTTTTCATTTACTTCCCCCAACAGACTCTCTATTCTATTAACAAACTCCCTATTTTTTATATTAAAATATAAATTTTAAACAAACTCCCTATTTTTTTATATTAAAATATAAATTTTAATTATAAATTTAAAAAATATATATATAAATGTGTACTACAATCCCTAAACAAAACAAAGCAAATATACATATATATATAAGGGAGCTACAGTGACTCCCTACAAATAGGAAGCCACTATATCAAAAACTAATTTATGAGATTATTTAAGAGAGCTAATGCAGGTGTGTAGGAAGCCATTTACCCCTTAAAATAGGTAAGGAGGAGGTTTAAGGGCTCTGGTGGAGATACTCTAATAGAACCCTTATATTTCTTCCTTACCTATTTTAAGGGGTTTTATGGCCTCTATACACTTCCAACAGCTTCCTTAAATACTCCCCTAAAATAGGAACTGTGCCTTCCTACATTGTGGCACCCTTAGAGCATTCCCACCAGTTTACCTAAATTTTATTCTAAAATATTATTAAAAAATTCATTTCCTATTTTAGGAATCACTTTTTCATTTACTTTCCAAAAACATATAATATACATATAATATACACCCCCACTACCATGTATAGCTGTAAAAGACCTTGCATCTGTAAAGGCCACAATGTGTAGCTGTAAAAGAGAACTTATAATTTGACTTTTTAGATAATTTTTAATTTCTTTTTTAAGCAATGATAAGGACCCAAAAAAAGTTATTAAAAATTTTGCAAAATATTCACAAGGGTGTTAGAGCATTCTTACCTGCTTACTTATATTTTATCTTAAAATATTATTAAAAAATTCATTTCTTATTTTAAAAATTATCTTTTCATCCACTTCTTCCAACAAATTCCATACTCTTTCTCTATTTTAATAAAAATTATTTTTTAATTATTTTATATTTTATATTTTTGGGGATAGAGATGCTCAAGGTTGAATGAAAAATAATTTTATATTTTTGGGGAGTGAACAGTGGCTCCCTACATTTGGGGAGCAACTGTAGCAACACTTTTATTTGAGGGGTGGGTTAAGGGATCTGATGTGGGTTCTTTTTGACAGCAAAATCCCTTATTTTGAGTAAGGACACCATATAAGGCATCTGTTGGGGATGCTCTTATATATATATATATATATATTTTTTTTTGCTTTGCTTTGTTTAGGGACTGTAATATACATTTATTATTTTTAATTTTTTTAAATTTATAATGAAAAATTATATTTTAATAGAATAGAGAAAAATATAGAGTTTGTTAATAGAATAAAGAAAGAATAAGGAGTCTATTGGGCGAAGTAGATGAAAAAATGATTCCTAAAATAAATTATATCACCAAAGTTGCCAAGAATATACATCAAATTTGTATGTAAATGACTTGTATTTGACAATAATAATTTTGTAATTATGAAAGGAATGTTAAGCAGAGAGAGCAAGGGAACTTACTTAGAATTGAAAAGGAGTTAGGAGAGAGGAATGAGGATGGTTTTCTTGCTCTGTCATTTTGGGACGCAGTACATGGGACTAAATGTTTTGTGTTTTTGTTTTGTTTTTGTTTTTGCGATCCAGCGTTGGGTCTGCAGTTGTTGCTTTTTTTGCTTTTTTAGATCTAACCGATGTGACCGCAGACAAGAAAAATGTAATGTGCTCCCTCCTTTGTATACGAAAGCAGAAATTAAACCAAAAAAAAAATTATTTGTTAACTTATTTGCCACTGAGTTTGCAGTGTCTTACTACCATGTTTTTCATTGTTGTCGGTGGTTTAGTTTTCGATTAACCTTCACAGGAAATGAAGTTCAGGACTTCAACGTTTCTGTCGGGTCGTTTCTTACTTTCTTATACTATATTCTAATATTTGAAGTTGCCTCTCCACTTGCCCTTTTCTCAGTTTCAAGATTTTAAACGGAGAGTGTTAAGCATTTTCAGTGTGGAGAAGTATTTAAATATACAATATTTTGGTGAACTGCATCCATTTTGAACGATTTATGTATGATCGATTCCAAAACAAGAACAGAAAAAAAAAATCAGATCATAGGTTGTCACAATTAAATTGATTTTTTTTTGTGTGATAATCTACAAATAACCTATTAAAATAAACAACGATGTTGGGATCAGAAAAATCTTCATGAAAATTTTCTCCGTCTTGGATCGTTTATAGCATTTGTAGTGTTTTATTGTTGTTGTACAATCACCTTTCGATTAATTCATGAACTTTTCATGAGGTTATTCTTTAATAATCAAATTGAACTACATGACTTATGATGGGCTCCACGATATCCAAAAGCACATTGCGTAAGTATTAAATAAAATATAAAATAAACCTTATTATTATTTACTTAAAGAGTTAGAGTTTTCCGGCTAGACACATTAGTCGGATTACTGGCTTTCGTAGTTCCATTTTGGCGGAACATGTGCTCATCAAACATTTTTTTCCTCACTAAATTTAATTTTTGGAAATTTTTTTTACCTGTTTAGTTTTTGTAATGATTGTTGATAATAATAATAAAGATAAATTACAACTTATCTCTCTTTGACCAGGTTTAAGCATAATTACAGGGACCTCTTTTATAGTTTGGAAAAATTAACTCTAACCTCCTTTACTTTTGAAACTAATATCAAGATTCTCCTTTGGGTTAATTTTGGCTTCAAACAGTGTTAAAATTAATAATAAAATGACTAATTATATCCTTAGCTCTTCTTCATGTCTTTTGCAAACCACAATTTTTTTTAAACATAATTCCAGCAACCCTAATTAGATCACTACCAATCTTCTCTCTCTTTTCTCTCTAAGCTATAAGCTAAGATTGTAACTGATCAACTCAGAGACTTTAAAAGCCCCAAAATTTAAACGTCTAAGAAATGGGGGAAATTTATTTTGTGTATATATATGTATGTTGAATTGTTGAATGAGGTTTGGAGAATTTATTTGACAATGAGATTTGGATTATGCATCGGTGGTTATCAATAACTTCTACAACATGAACTGTTGAGGAAGAAAGAGTGAAGACAGTTTTCTAATTAAGCAGAAGTAGGGTAGAAAAAATGGAATAAATAAGAAAAACATAAATTAAAAGAAAAAGAAATAAATATATATAGTCACTTAAGATTTAAAAGTTAACACACCACATATATATGATCATATGTCTCAGTTATGATATTTGTGAATTTGATTATAACTTATTAGGTGTTAATTATGACTTAGTTATGACTCATATGGTGGTTGTTTACAACTCATTGTGATGTTAGTTTAGATGCCTATTTGTAATTATTTTT